ATTTTCTTCACAAAGTGGATGATATAGTGATTCCAAACAATAAAGCTGTAATAGTGGAAAACAAAAAAGGGAAAAGAGAAGTCAGAGATATAAGACTTGTACCACCATCTATAATTTAAACTACTAGTAAACAAATATAATGATAGAGACATAAACAGATTTTTATGGGTTCTAGCAATTGATGGGCCTGCTTTGGGGGCTGTGTTTAAGTTGGGTGAGTAGGGGCTGCTTTGGAGACTGTGTTTAAGTGGTGTGAGTCTTGTCGTAGTCTAAATTTGTGTCTTATTTTTAAACTTAAAATGTTATGTTTTAGATTGTTATAGAAATGTATTGTATATAGTAAGTTTATATAATTTTATGTTATTGACACATGTATTGTATATAGTAAGTTTAATGGAGTGTCAAATTTAGCTATATTTCAACCGAGAGAAGTTTCATCAAATTTGGAAAACAACCATTTATTAATTTCAAATAATTCATCAAATAAATACGCTTTTCAATTTTTTCAAGTAAAAACAATCATCTATTAGTTTAAATAATTCACTGCATACACCAGTTATTAGTTTTGAATCTTCATCAAATTTTGTCTAGTCTTTTTAAATTTAGGTTGATTTTTTTTTTGGACTAGTATAATATCTAAAAGTATTTTGGATCTTTTTTTTTTTGTTTTTAAATCAATTTCTGGCACCCACGACCCTATATTCTTCAAATATAGAATAGCAATTTTGGGCCTTTAAAATCCTAGAAATCATTGTCATCTTATATCCTTTTCAATTTACTACATTATTTTTGATAAATAAAGACTGAAATGAAAGAGAGGAGAAGGACTGAAATGACAGTGATGTATATTCAGTGTCTGTTGTATATCTATATGTTACAAGAGACTCTCTCTATTTATAGAGAGGAGAAGGTGACCGAAGTGTATATTACAATACATTAAACTAAGCTTTCTTGTGTGCTGGTGTGTGCTTTACAGTGTGATATGAACATGTGATGCTAGTGGGTGTGTGCTGGTGTGTGTTGTATTGTATACTTTAACAATTTTTAATTTCTTTTATGATATACAACAAGTTAATCTATTTCCTAAACAGAGAGACATTAATCCATCTTCATGGGTGATCTCATGCTTAAGGATAAGATTGCGCCAGTTAGTTCCATACAAATTCTTATCAAATCTAGAACTAGACAAACTTGGGTCCATACTAGAATTCCAACCCAAAACTGAGTGGAGGAAAAATGCACTAATATAAATAAAATGAAACAAAATTCCTTGGGTGGTATATAGAGCAAAGAGGGACGACCTACCGAAGCAGAATGAAGTAGCAAGGTGTAGCACAATGACAGCAACGACAAACAGAAGAAACCGTGAGAGAGAGAGAGAGAGAGAGAGAGAACTTCTAATCGTGAGAGAACAAGTGAAAATCGTGGAGAGAGGTGAGGGGTTTTTTACATACTAGCAAAAAAAAGAGGGGAATTTGGGAGAGATTGTAAAAAAGTGAGGTCCCTGTTTGGTTTGAGTTTTGTTTTCTAATTTTTTTCTTATTTCATTTTTAAATGTTTAAAAACTACTCATATCCTCTTTAAAATTATGTAAAATTGATAATCAATTTTATTTTTTAAATTTTTTTATTTCTTTTTAAAAAATTTTGAAACAAGTGTTAAAAAATAGGGCTCAGCTGGAGACCCCTAGTGGGAGTGACCCCTAGTGACCCCCCGGTGCCACATGGGAGCCTGCCATTGGCTGAAAATCCCAAAAAAAAAAAAAAAAAAAGTTTTTTGAAGAAACCGTGAGAGAGAGAGAGAGAGAGAGAGAGAGAGAGAGAGAGAGAGAGAACTTCTAATCGTGAGAGAACGAGTGAAAATCGTGGAGAGAGGTGAGGGGTTTTTACATACCAGCAAAAAAAGAGGGGAATTTGGGAGAGATTGTAAAAAAGTGAGGTCCCTGTTTGGTTTGAGTTTTGTTTTCTAATTTTTTTCTTATCTCATTTTTAAATGTTTAAAAACTACTCATATCCTCTTTAAATTTATGTAAAATTGATAATCAATTTTATTTTTAAATTTTTTTATTTCTTTTTAAAAAAATTTGAAACAAGTGTTAAAAAATAGGGCTCAGCTGGAGACCCCTAGTGGGAGTGACCCCTAGTGACCCCCCGGTGCCACATGGGAGCCTGCCATTGGCTGAAAATCCCAAAAAAAAAAAAAAAAAAAGTTTTTTGGGCCAATGAGAAGAGACCCCCAGCACCCCACAGGGGGTCTCATGCATTTTCCTAAAAAATAAACCAAACATGGTCACCTCAAACAAATATGATTTAAATATATACCTATCAAGTCCAATCATCTTAATTTTTATATGAAATTATACTCAATAAGTCTTAAAATGTAAATGATTCGAATCACCGAGGTCAACCTCAAAATGCACCTAGCTTATTTCAAGTTGGATGACCAACTTGAAAGAATCCAAATCCCTTCGAAAAGTTCTAATAAAAATGCAAACCACCAAACCATTATGTTTCACTAACAAAATTTTGGCCGACGAATAGTTTTGTCGTCGCTAAATGTTTAACTATTTGCCCATGCCAACTTGTCATCGCCAAAAGTAAATTGACTAATAGCAGCACTTATCGTGTTGCCTAAAAATAACTCACGTCGCTAAAAATTTTAAAATTTTGGCGCCAACTAATAATTTTGGCGCCTAGTGAATGTTATGTTTTTTTAGCGACGTTAGTAATTGCGTCATTAAAGATCTACTTTTACTGACGAAATTGATCACTGTACCGCCAAAAATATACTTTTGTCAATGAAAAATTGACGTTGTCACCAAAAGTGCAATATCTTGTAGTGACACTGTTCGTGCACGTCAATACCGTTTGGCTATGTTGTCGATGTTGTTTGGCAGTATTGTCGCACACATACGTATAATACGAGGAGATGATAGTACATCCCCTGTCCTGAAGAGGACAAACAAGAGCACACAAACTATATAAACCCTACAGTGCCTCCATGCAACAGGTTTGTGATCTTCCTTACACTGAGCTATCTTTTCTTTTGTCCTCTACTCTCTAAGGGTGCTAACTTGACCATCGGAGGGGTTTTTCCGCAACACACCCGCCGCGTAACTCACATTCATTGTGTTTTTAGATTCAACAACATTGTTTGGAATAACACGGTACTTGGACGTAAGGAATACGGAAGTTTGGAATTTATTTATTTGAATTACTTTTACATATTTGACATGGCATGCTTGCAAGGAAATCAAAAACCATAAGTCTACCACCCACCATGGGCATGTTTGAGGCACCTAATTTTTTTAGGTTGGCAAGAAAGAAAGTAGAAGATAAAACCTTTTTTTTGACTTTTAGAGGAGTTGATTTTTTGTCAATTTCGATTATGGATTGAAAGGTGTTGTCTAGACTCAAGAAACTTACCATGAGTTTTGTTTTAGTGATCTAAATAATTCATTTTGTAGGTTTTCCCGTGCATATAATTTATAAGAAATTAAATCGATTTGATAATTATAATCTATTTAATTTATGATTTATTTTTTTGGTGACAAACATAATAAATTGAACATGTTATAATTATCGAATTAACCTATGTTTTTTATGGAACATGAAGGGCTGTATAAAATAAACGGTTCAAATTATCGAAAAGGGACCGGTGATATATTCCTCAAGCTCAGACAACACCTTGGATTGGAGAGAAGCTCAGGCCTTTTTAGATAATAATTTTTTTTAAACTTATATTTTTTTAACTTATTTAAATTATTTCTATCTTATAAATTATAAATAAAAATTATATTAAAATATTTTGACACAATTTTTTTTTTTTTAAAAAAGAAGTTATAAACAACTTTAATATCCAAAAAAAAGTTACAAACAACTTTATTATCCAGCACCAAATAGACTCAAGTTACTCTGCTACAAACAATCAAGCTGGTTAAGCACTGGGGGTTGGTTTAGCATTAGCTGTAAGCCTAATTTAAGAGTGCATCATGGTCCATTCTGTTGGGTTTTCCATTCTGTTGGTATTTTTTTTTTTATAATAATAATAGAAAAATAAATTAAATATAATAAATTGGGAATGACAAAACAATCTTATTATTATTATTTTTATTAAAGAAAAAAAAAAACTATGACAATATGAATTACATAATGGATTTGAATAAACCAAAATCACAAGAACAAATTAGTGACATGAATGAATAAATATTAGAACTCGTCGAAATAAGATTAATATTCAAGAAATAAAGAACAAATGACAATGGAGCCCAACTGAGTCTTGTGTTTCACATAGTTTCCTTAAAACATATTTGTTACCTCATCGATAGTGCTAAAGATTTGTCGGCGTTTGTCTCTCAAGATAAAACAGTTAAACGTCTGCTATATTAGCACTCACTGAAGTAGCTCTTACGAACTTGAACATTAGTAATATTCTCTCTCTAATAAGAACCAAAGGAAAATGTTAGCAAAAGGAGATGATGGAAAATTATGAAAATTTTCTTTTGAGTAAAAATTATCTCCATCTCAAAACCATCATTTTTCATCTTGGATAAACTTTCTACGGAAGTAGGTGGAGAAAGACCCTTTTATACTTGTAAGAAAAAACCTATAGCCATGAAGGCTCCATCATGATGATCATTAACTCTAAATTTTAGGGTTACAGTTACAAAAGTTAAACACTCATGGTCACTAATATGGTCATTAATTCCATCATCAAAAGATGAGAGTTACAAAAGTTTAAAACTCTCATGTGTATAATATATACAAATGAACATGCATATAATGTTGTTTAAATAATTCAAAACGATTGGTCGCAAAACAAATATAAGTGTTGAGTCACAACCCGATCCAAGCTCAATCTCAAACACAAGCTATCAAAATATAATAATCCATCAAATCCATTCAATATAACCTGTAATTTGCAATAATCATTCAAACCGACAAAATCAACTCAATCATGAACATTCAACAAAATACATAAATTATCCAATCCTTAACCTATTTAATTAAAGTTATCAACTATTATAAGTTTCTATTAACAAGGAATTCCAAACTACATAATTGTCCAATTAAAAATGTCAACTAATCTATATAATCATCCAATTCACATCCATCTAGCATAAAAATTTAAAATATAACAAGTACTTATTATGTTTCAAATTTTTATCCATGCGCATCTATGAAAAAATATTACTAATAGTCTACCCAAATATTTTCCATACACATCTATCAAAAAATATATAATCCTTCAAAAAATGTAACAAGTGCCAACTAGTTCGGTATAATTCAACTTCGTACACGAATCCATCCATCTGTACAAAAGAAAAAGAAAAATAATGTCAGGTAATTTTTTTTGATCAAAATTATAAGCACATCAAATGATTGTAAAATTGGACAAAAAATGAAAAAGGTCCATGGAAAGTAAAGGTGTATGACCCGCACAATAAATGGTATTAAAAAAAAAAAAGGAAATAAGCTCCACATTGATCTAGTACTCACAAGCTTCCAACAAATTTTATCTATACACTTGCTATAACCAACAAAAGATTCTCCATAGTTAAAACAAAACTTCCCATAGTGGATATAATAATTCTAACAATTCAAACATCATCTCCATCACAAAGCTTATCCAATAAATATACACAATTTAAAAATTCCATCTAATTACCCAAAGGTTTACAAGGCAGAGACAACTATGGTTTACAAGGCAGAGACTTCATAGTCATCGGTTGTGTGAAGCATTCACTAAAACAGGATCTCATAATATATGTACATATATTTGAAGTGTATATTTATATGCATAGTGATCCTTGATCTTTGCTCAGTACAAGAGTCCAAAGACATGGAGATCTCCACTAAAACACATGGCTGTGCCTAATTACACAAAGCCTAGTCAAGAGAAAGGCTCTATAGTCGCGCACAGGTGGGAGAATGCATTTAGTTTCTCAATCAATGCTTGCATTAAGGTTTTATACCTCATTTTGTAATACCCGGACAATATAAGTGAATATTTGATCTAGCAAGTTAGCTACTATGACCTGCACGTTACACAACTTGTGATGTTTAAATACAATACATATATATATATATATATATATATAATGGATGTATAAGAGGTACTTTGAAGCTTGAAATGCCATTAAAGCAATCAAGTAACTCCAAGTGGATGATATAAGCAAAGTAGTTCTGGCAACTATCAGTCACACCTATGGACAAGCACAAATCGCTTGAAAATTCCCAAAGCCCAGTCCTAATTGACGGAGGCATCAAATCATATCCAAGTGAGAGCAACTTTAGTGGGTGTCAGTCTTGGTAACTGACCTAGTAGGTTCCACCTCAAAAAGGGCAATATTCGGAAAACCATCTATAGTGAAGGTAAGCATTTATTACGTGCTTCTTGCGCTCACAAGTTTGTTTAATTTAGGTTGAGGTGACCGTGATATATCGGGACTGTTTCCAATTTTCGCCCTCAAAACCTTTCTTTTTCGTCTTTTTCCCTCACATTTTTTTGTCTAAATTTTTAGCCGTGCATCCTATCGACACGCTGCTTGCTCTTACAAGTTTCTTTAATCAACTCTGAGGTGAATGTGATGATCTTGGGGCAGTTTGGGGGCTGTTTCCAATTTTCCCCCTAAAATGGCCCGTTTTCACCTTTTGCTCACATTTTTTTTTGGGTCTAAATCTATTACCGCATGTCCTATCAACGTGACGCATGCTCTCACAAGTTTGTTTAATCCGAGGTGGCTGTTATGATCTCGGGGCTGTTTGGGGGTTGTTTCCAATTTTCGCCCTCAAACGGCTCATTTTCACCTTTTTCACGGACATTTTTTAATCTAAATTTCTAACCGTGTGTCCTATCGATGCGCCGCTTGCTCTCACAAATTTGTTTAATCTAGGCCAAGGAAATATGTTATGATCTCGGGACTGTTTAGGGGCTGTTTCCAATTTTTGCCTCCAAACGGCCAATATTTGCATTTTTTCCTCACATTTTTTTTCTCAAATATTCTCCTCACACGTTTGTTTGCCTTTACTTGGAACATAAATATCATGAAATCTGGTTTAACACACCCAATACCATGACTTGCTATGTGGGATGGTCACACATGTACACTTACAAAGCAATTAGTTCAAACAACAAAGCAATTCGCAAATTTATTATTAAAAAAATTATGATTCCAGTAGTGCCAAAGTGTTCTTTGTTTCCTCAGCACAACCACACATTAAAGGGTGAAACTTAAGCATTCAATTACAAAGAAACTAGGAAACTTGATAAAACATAGCCAATGTTGGACAAAAATATATATATTTATATAAACACAAGTGAATGCAAGATAAATCGTAAGGCACCAGAGCAGTATCATTAGAGAATCTGGTGATTGACCAAAAAAAGAACAAAGCAGTTCTTTGATAACATTGGAATATCCATTCCAGAAAGGCATATTGGGAATCGGTCAGTTTCTATCTAAAGGCATATTGGGAATCAGACAGTTTCTATCTCTGTTCATTCTGTTTGAAGAAGGAAGGATCCAAAGAATCGATCTTTCTTTTTAGTTGTTGAATTTCTATTTGATTGATCAATGTGTGGTAAAGCACATCAGGTATCCAAACAAGTCAATGAAGGCACATTGTATTTGTGATTCAAAGAACAAAAATCAATCAAAAAAAATATGTGGCAAAGCACATTAGGTATCCAAACAAATGACACACAGATAGCCTCAGCATTGAAACAAGAAGCTACATGGTTTCCCAATCTTGCATGTGGCTTAAAGTGGTCAATGTTTACTTTAAACCAAGTGTTGTTAACAAAGACTGTAATAAGAAAATTTTCCAATAGGGATAGCTTAACAAGAAAGGAGACTTAAAACCAGAAATTTAAAACAGTATATAAAATTAATATGTGACAATTCTATGATCAAAACCTATACAGCTTAAGAAACATCCTCAATTCGCTAATATTACCAAATTGATAGATTAAAATTGTCATTCCAATCATCATAACAACAATTAACCAACTACAATTGAGATTGCTCTCTTCAATTTGGATTTCCTACTACAAACAAGCTAGAAATAAACCTAGTAAGTACCACGTAGTTGGAGATATACTAGACATACCCATCATACTATGTTTTTCATGAGACTCATTTCTAGCAAACAGTATGTAATGTTTTTAGTTGTTTTGTATCAAGCTGTTTTAGCATGAACTGTTAGGGACAGTATAAACCATATCAATTTAAATCCACCAAACAAATTAAACAGACAAAAGACTCCACATGTTCATATATTCCAAAGTCTCTATTTCAATAGTCAACCACATGAAGTAATTCGTATATTCAGTCATTGCTAACATGCATCCAATACCTTGTCTTTACATACAACCAAACTGGAAAGTGCAATATTTGATGCAGTCATTGCTAACATGCATCCAATACCTTGTCTTTACATACAACCAAACTGGAAAGTGCAATATTTGATGCAGTCATTGCTAACATGCATCCAATACCTTGTCTTTACATAGGGATAGCTTAACAAGAAAGGAGACTTAAAACCAGAAATTAAAACAGTATATAAAATTAATATGTGACAATTCCATGATCAAAACGTATACAGCTTAAGAAACATCCTCAATTCGCTAATATTACCAAATTGATAGATTAAAATTGTCATTCCAATCATCATAACAACAATTAACCAACTACAATTGAGATTGCTCTCTTCAATTTGGATTTCCTACTACAAACAAGCTAGAAATAAACCTAGTATCACGTAGCTGGAGATATATTAGACATACCCATCATATTATGTTTTTCATGAGACTCATTTCTAGCAAAGAGTATGTAATGTTTTTAGTTGTTTTGTATCAAGCTGTTTTAGCATGAACTGTTAGGGACAGTATGAACCATATCAATTTAAATCCACTGAACAAATTAAACAGACAAAAGACTCCGCATGTTCATATATCCCAAAGTCTCTATTTCAATAGTCAACCACATGAAGTAATTCGTACATGCAGTCATTGCTAACATGCATCCAATACCTTGTCTTTACATACAACCAAACTGGAAAGTGCAATATTTGATGTAGTCATTGCTAACATGCATCCAATACCTTGTCTTTACATACATCCAAACTGGAAAGTATTAATTACTAAAGCAAAATGACTGGATGGGGTTTGGCATCTCTTGATGAAACAACACAATTCTTATGAAGGTAGATATAGTAAATTTATTGTATTGCAACCACATAATGTCCAAAGATATACCAGGTCATCACCGACCACCTAAATGCATGCATATCCATGTTATTCTTTGTATCGTCCTTGTCTTATAAGAAGTTCAGTAAATTATGATAAAAGGAAGTACTATGTTTTCTCTCGCCAAAAACTACTTCACTGCTTAAGCTTATGTCACAATAGTATGCACCAAGAAGTTCCTTGAAAATAGAAAATATTTCATCCAAATCATTATGTTTAAATCCCACAATGAAGAGAGAAACCCAATTAACTACAAGTTGAGGGAAATTAACTACGTTCTTGTTCGCTAGATGTCTGGGTAACAAAACATATGCAACCATAAATTTGAACATGAGACCATATAATGACTTGAATAGATATAAACAGAAAACAATTTTGAAGAGTAAGTAGACATCGGAATTCACATTTTGAGAAAGCGATATGAATAAACTGCAAATAACAGGCAACAATTTTTAATGACCAATGGCCAACCTGAATTTTTATTCTTCTATGAAGAGACGTACACAAATGAAGCTAAAAAAATATTTTGCAATAGAAAATCACAAAACTCAAATCACACCACATGTTGAATATAGAAAATCACAAATCTTAGTTGGTAAGCCATTATATGGAGTCAAGTGAATAATGGGTGAAATATGATCACATTGACAACATTCTTTCTAATGATCACAACAATGATCAAAGAATTTTTTTGTTTTAAGAATTATCTTGTTGATGTACATGAGTTGGTCACCACCATTATTACAATTTATCTGTGTGAACCCCACGAGTTTATTTTTTATTTTATTTTTTATTTTTTCTAATTTTATTGATGAACTCAAAAGCATGAACCTTGATTGCCAATTTGTTACCCCCTAAGTCCATGCAGATCAGCAAGACATAGTACCTGCCTTAGGACCTATTGTTAAGGTAAAATGCAATGATACACAGAAATTAATGAAAATAATAATAATAAATCAGAAACGCAGAAAGATGCAACAAATACATTCCAATTATAACATGCAAAGCAAAAGGTTTTATTATGGAAAGAAATGGTATCTTGTGTTTATTGTTTCTCTTTGGCAAATCTGGAAAGATCGTAATAGAGTTGTCGTTGATAATCAAACTAACCCAATCCAAACCAGTCTCAAGAACATTAGGGATCATGTCTATGAGATTGATGAGGCATTTGAATCCCCTCTTTACCCGCACCCTCCTTTATCTAGACTAATTCAGTGGTGTTGTCCAACTGCAGGGAAACCTAAGCTGAATGCAGATGGTTACTCAAAAAGGGGATCCAGGTCAGGCTGGCTATGGTGAACTCTTGAGAGATGAGACAGGGACTTGGTTATTGGGCTACTATGGCAAGCTAGGACATTGTTCAAGTTTGGACGCAGAGATATGGGCAATATACAGAGGACTTACCATTCTCTTTCGAAAAGGCATTAAAGGTGTGGAAATTGAATATGATTCAGAGCAAGCCACCCTTCAAATACAACATGGCCCAAACCAACATTCATCCTACAAAGCTCTCATTGAAGATGCAAGGTTCCTGCTGGATAGATGCAATTGCTCTCTTGGACATACACTGCAGGAGGGAAACAGAGTAGCTGACAAACTAGCCAATTTGGGAGTGGCTCAACAAGAATGTAGTATTCCTTGAAACACTGCCAGCAGAAGTTAGTCATTTGATCATAGAAGACATGACAGGAATTAGTGTGATGAGGGATTAGCCTCCGCTTATTGTATTTGTGACTTTGTACCTTTGTTTGTTTTAATTTCCAATGAATAATAAAATATAAAAAAAATACGATTCAATTATAATATCAATAAAGTAAACAAAGTCTCATTCATGCTAGATTTGTTAGTTTTTAAGGGTAACTTAAAGACACCACCCAGCTAGCCCCAAATCCTTTACATGTTACAGAGTTTTCAAAATCTAACACGGACGGATAACTTTTCATTTTCTCTCCAACTCTAACAGTATCACAAACATTAATATTACTACCGGATCATTAAAAAGTATGTAAGGATTTCAAAATGCAGGAGAACATCTTAGCAAAGAAACATGCAACTTTCATGAATTGGCACAATATATCAAAGAAAGTAAGAAAGAGAATAATGTGAAGGAATGGTCATTCCTTAAGAAAGCATAAAAAATCACCATTCCATTACATTGCCTCTCATTCCAATGAACCAAACAGAGCATATGGAAAACACAACTTAAAAAGAAGAAGAAGAAAAAAAAAAACAGGGAAGAAAAAGAGCCAATAATAGAGAAGAAAAATTCTTCTACCCCAATCGACGTCTATGTAGATATATAAAAACCCAAATAGCAAAACAAAAACAAAAAATCTCCTATTGACTCGCCGCTTGCTCTCACAAGTTTGTTTGATCTAGACCGAGGTGACCGTGATGATCTCAGGGTTGTTTGGAGACTGTTTCCATAAACATGCACTCATGTTTTTATGATAGTAAACCATCAAGCAACAAAAATGGATGGTTACTAAATGATTTGTTAGTGTGAAAATGGCTCATAAGTATCTAAAGAAAAATTACATATAATTTTTAAAATAAGAATGAACATTTGACTAGGCCAATGACCAACCCCAATAACTTTTGTTTTTGTGTTTGATTCTAGCCAAACTAGTTGACAACCCTATATATCTCCATGTACCAATTAGAATTCCACCCACCCAAAATCACCAAGAACAACACTTCAACATTCGCTAGAACACAAAATAACCTTTTTTTTTTTTTTGGATCAGCAAAAAAGGGATTATATTAATACTAAGAACAATACAATAGATAGGCTAGCGGATGAAGTTGCATCATTGTCAAAACCTCACATCCCAACTATGTTGGCACCCAAGGCTAAGACCAATCATGTGCATTCCCAAAGCAACAACAGATTGGAGAGGTTCCAATACAAAGATACAAGAGCCAAACAGGCTCAACCTAAGACCAACAGCAACTCACCAAAACAGAGTACTATTCAGCCACCATTTCTAATACAAAATTGAACTTGTTGAATATTGAGGATGAGATCATTGACAGAGAAAGCTAGAGGAGTTGGGGAAGATTTTACTCACATGGCAATTCTCACTTTAACTAATTCACACAAAATAACTTATTTAAGTATCTATTCTATTATATGAAATTTACAACCCAGTGAAACTTATCCAAAAAAAAAAAAAATTCCCAGTCTCTAATTGCTCTATAATAACTGTCTCACTTTTTTATTTTAAATTTCAAATTTTTGCAGCTCCTTTAACTTTTCTCTTCATTAACACTTTTTTTTTTTGGCATTCAATAAAAAATCAACTGATGAATTTTCATGACACACTCATCAAGTGCTATAATTTATATAATCAATTAAATTGTATCATATTGTCTCCTCTCAACATACAGTAGTGGTTACATTTTAATTTCAAAAATATATAAAACCTATTGGTTCCCTCATTTTAAGGGCCCCCCAATTCACTCCTTTCACTAAGTGGGAGTATCTAAACTTGCACACATGGTGCTGACTGTGTCACTATAAATACATCTACAAATCCTATGCAACATGAAAATACATCATACTTGTTTGATCACCAACCTAATCAAAGCACATAGAAGGAGAAGAGGAGGCGGTGGAGTTGTAGTATCTACTCATAATATTAATTTAACATGTTAACATGATGTTCTCCGATTAATAAAATCAGTTAAAAAGTAGCTAAAAATAACAACAAAAAATTATTTTCAATTTATATATATAGAGATATTTTAAGAATTGACAAAATTTCAAGTGAATTTCACAGATTTCACAAAATTATGAATCCCATTTTGAGCCTGATCATCTAGGGCCTAGGGGGAAAAAATTACTTGAATATCTAAGTGGCAATAAATATATGCAAAAAATCCATGCATAAACATCAAAAAATTATATGCACGAATACCATGACTAGTTAATTTTAAGCAACTAACAACATCTGGAGAGTAAGATTTGAGGCCATCCCTTCAAACATCCACTCATTAGGGTTTTGAAAATTAGGGAAAACAAATAACTTGGTTTTGAAAATTAGGAAAAACAGAGGGGAAAAAAAAAAGAGAAATTGAGCGAGAGAAAGGGATACTAAAATTGGGTTTTTGGAGATAGGCAAACTGCTGGTACCTGGAAAATGGTGATGGCGGTGCTGTTAGGTGCAAAAATAAAGAGAAGGAAAAATAAACATAGATGAACAGAAACATTGAGAGAGAGAGAGAGAGAGAGAGAGAGAGAGAGAGAGATTTATACCTAGATGACAGTGGCGAGGCGAAGACGGAAGGCGGCGCTGACGGTGGCGTGGAGAGGACGGCGGACGGCACCGTTGATGGTGAAGAGGCGAGGTGAGTTATACCACAATTTTATTAATTAATGCTAAACGCTTAAAAATTTTATTAAAATTTTTATTAAATGTCTTATATGAATTTAAAAATTATATCAAAATTTTATTAAATATTTTATATGAATTTAGGACCCATGTTTTATGTGAACCCTACGTTTATACGAGGCATTTAATAAAATTTTTAAAACTTTTAACATTTTTGTATCTAATGACATAGAAAATAATAATCAAACAAGGGCTAAGAACCCACATTAATAAAATCCTGTAAAAAAAAAAATATTTGTGATTTTTTTAAAAACAGTTTTAAAAAAAATCTACACTCTTATTTTTCGTGTTTTTTTATTTTTACTGAATTTTTTTAATATTTTATGCAAATTTTTTATTTTTTAGACATACCTAACATAAATACACCTAAAAAGTAAAAAAATTGTAAAAAAAATGTTTTAAAAATTCACTAAATACCAAAAATATAAAAAAAAATACAAGAATTTAGTATATTTTTTGTATTTTTATGTATTTCTTAATTTTTTAAAATATTTTTTCACAATTTTTTTACTTTTAAGACACATCTAAGTAAGGTACATCTAAAAAAGTAAAAAAAAATATTTAAAATTTTAAAAATATTTACTAAAAACAAAAAAACACAAAAATCAAAAAATTCAATTTTTAAAAAACTTAATTCAGAAAACTCAAACCAAACACAGTAATTTGTTCTAGAATTCTCATGCTTGTTATATTATACAACTCATGCTAACTGGTAAATCTATTAATCGTTTTTTTTTTTTAAAAAAGAACTTTTAAGGTTGAGAGTTATGCACAATTATTCATAAACTACACATATCAATTATTATTATTATTGAAAATAGTAATTCCCTCACCATTAAAACTGTTTTTTTCTTCTTTTTTTTTGGGATCAAACTTCTAATCTATTACAAAAACTAGGTTAAACTATTTGTTTTTTCCACCGCTTTTCAAAAATTGTTTCAGTTATTAATTCCTTATCAAATTTGGAAACAAATAAAATCCTACAAAGCTTCACAAACTCTGATTTCGAGATATTTTTATAACATGAGTCAATGCAAGTCACTTTCCTTCTCCTCCAAGGTAAAGAAATCACCATCCCCTCCCCTCTCTCTCTCTTTCTCTCTCTCTCTCAAAATCCTAGCACTATTTAATTCTTTACTGGAGCCAAAAACAAAAATCATCTTCTTGTGTTGAAGAATAAAAAAATTATTCAAGTTTATGCAACGGAAAAATTGATATACATGGAGCGTTCTAATCTTAATTCAGATTTAATCTTTGAGATTTTAACTAGAACATCATTAAAAGGTTTGGATCGGTGCAAATCGGTTTGTAAAGGATGGAAGAATTTGACGTACGAGTCAACTTTCACCCCTCTTCATTGTGAAAGGACGGGTACTATTTTGGGCTACTTTGTTCAAGATTTGGTACACAACAAGTATTTCTCAAAATTCGCATCGATGGATCGGTCAAAGGAATTAGGTCAAAATCTCTCCCTGGATTTTTTACCACATCCGATGAAGGTTGAGGCATCATCAAATCAAGGAATTTTATGTTGTGTGTACCATGATTACAGAAATTATCGATTCTATGTTTGCAAACCTAGTACTAGGCAATGGCAAAAGCTACCAAATCCCAAAACAAGGTACATGACGGTTCAAGTTGCGATTGTGGTGATACGGTCTAACCCATTGCATTACAAGATTGTTCGATTGTCAAACCCCAAACACATGTGAGTTTTTTTTTTGGGTTAAAATTAATAAAATATATGTGAGCTACATGCATTTTGCTTATATATATATATATATATATATGAGAACTCACTGACTTTTGCTTTCCTGTTTATTTTTAGTTTAACTCAGAATTTCTTTAAAAGTAAGCCACTATTTCTTTGGTTTACAAAAAAAAAACTATTTCTTTGGTTAAAAAAAAAAAAAAAAAAACGATTTTCCATGCCGTTACTTTGTAATATTTTTACACTATCATCTTTTGTTTTTATTATTTATTATTTTTAATGTTTTTTCCCTTTTATTTTTTAGCGGTATTTGACTTTGTATGTGTATGATTTTTACCTGTGCCTATTTTTAGAGATAGGAATATTCTGTTCAGATTTTTTCCAATCTTTCAGTCTCAAATCCTCTCTTTTAGTATATATATATATAATATATAATTTATTTACAAAAAAAAAAAAAAGAGTTGAGGGTTTGGATCTATCAACAAAAAAAGAGAAAAATGACAGGAGCTAGGGAGAGATCATCTCTCAATACTTTGTCACCCTATTCTAATTCACTCGTGATCATTAAACCATATGAAAATTTCAAACATATTAATCTCGAAATATACGATCAAACAATTATAATTGAGTTGGAATAAATGACAAGATGTGCTATTTTTATGCCTAGTTTTTTTTTTTATGTTTTGTTTTGGTGTTTGTTTTTCTTCTTCGTTTTTCTGTGTGTGTGGCTTGTTTAGGTTTTGTTGGTTCTCTCTTATGTGTTCTATTTTTCCTTGTTTTTGTTCTCCTGTTTCCCGTGGTGTATGTTGTAAGGAAAATTATACCCCCCCAAAAAAAAAAAATTAGAGTTTTAACTTTATAACAAAATAAATTCTGAATTTTTAATTTTATCAATTTAAACTTTAATTTTTTTGATTTGTTTTTAATCGAAACTATTTACATATTTTTGTTAAGTAAAATAAAATTGAATATAAATTGACAAAATTTAAAAATCAAGATTTATTTTGTTACAAAATTCAATTCTTGAGTTTATTTATTTATTTATAATTTCCCCTGATTATTTTTTAAACTATTGTGTATAAATCATTGCCAAACAAGTGTTTGTTTTAAGGCTTTGTAATGTACGGAAACATTATAAACTGGGGTCTGATCTGAATCTAATCTGTATTTGTTATGTTATTTAGGCTCCGTATAAAATATTTCATCGTAACGCTAAAAATTAATTATGTTTCTACTGTACGGCAACGTTAGTTTCTATTGTTTAGCTGGTCAATTAGTAAGTGAAATATTTTTTTATCATAAAGCTAAAAATGAATTATGTTTCAAAAACCAATAAGTCATTTTTGACATATCTCATTCAATGCTATTTATGCCACACCATGTACTAGGTGTGCAATTTGGGTGAGCTTAATCCCGAATAACTCGAGTCCAGTTTGTATTTTTTAGGATTTGGATAAAATGTTTTTGAATTTGGTACAGATTTGGACAAAAATTCAGAAACTCAAATTAAATTTGAGACGACTTGGGCAAAGATATCAAACAATCCGAGCAACCTAAAATCTGAATTATAATACAAAATTTTAAATTTTTTATTCTCACTCATAAATTGTAAAGACTATCATAGTGACATCTCTCTTTCATTATATTAATTATTTGTTTTGATGTTATTAATAATTTTCTTAAAAAAATGTAAATAGAGTCTAATTTTAATAAATTAATAATTTAAGTGCCAAAAAAAATATAATTTATGTATAATTCGGACAATTCGGATAATTCGGATTTAATTTGAGTTGGGTTTCGGTAGGTAATCTTAGGTTATAATTCGCGCTTAAGTGGGCCTGGACAAGTATTAACCCAACTTGGGTTAAATTTGGACAATTTCCCAATCTGCTCGAGTTGCACCCCTACCATACACACTAATATTGAAGGTTCTACACATGTCTAATGGTGAGACTCGTGTACGAATTTTGTGTCTATATTTACAATTTTTGTGGGTAAACAAAATCTAATGAAAGAATCAAATACAATACTCTCATATCGAATCTCACATCATGTAATAGAGTTATGCCCTATTTTGTACTATTAGTATCTCATTAAAATATAAAATCAACAATATGTAATTGTTATTATAATTGAAACAATCTCCGTTAACTATTTTAAATTTGAAACCATCAATTATAAAGTAAACATCTCCATTTCATTGATATAATTGATTTGTGATTGTGAATATATTCATACTAATAACTATGCAATAATTTTTTTTTTGTCAGGCTAAAGTACTACTACAATTATCACTGCGAAATCTTCGACTCAGATCTATGGGCATGGAGAAAATTGAATGATGTATTGCTGCCACCCCGCGTGATCTTCATCAACCAGCCCACCGTTGTTGCAAGCGGAGCAATCCATTGGCTCACAAGCAACGATCAAGTATTCGCATTCGACATAAATTCAGAGACTTACTCCACATTTCCATTGCCAGAACCAATAATAACTGAAGAAGATGAATTTCACTACAGAGACAAGCAACTTACAGTGTACAAAGGCCGGCTCGCCTTCATCTACAGAGAACCAGATGGGTATTTGGTTTTATGGGAGATGGACACGAATCGCGTTTGGCAAAAGATAAACACTCTGAACATTGAACCGGTTGAAGAGAAAGAACCTTACCCTTCTTATGCTGCTTTCTACAATGCAGATATTGCAGTCATGAAAGGTTTTCGCAACATAATGTTTTACAAGTTTCAGAACTGTGGTTCGGGCGATGTGAAGCTGCATGACTTGAAGATGGTTCCTCGTGACATTTTTGTGTTTCGATCTGATTTGGAACCAACTGAATTGAAATGTGGAAGCTGATTTCTATGATTTTTTTTGTTTTTTGATAGATTAAGTGCATGCATGTATGCTGTTAATTAATTTAGGTTTTTTTTTTTTTTTTTAAAGTCATTCTAGGTGGGATTGAATTTTCAAGAAACTCTCTGCACAATTGTTAATAGAAATTGCATTTTATGGTTGACATTATTGAACTTCTTGTTATGATATACTTTGCTGTTTGGGAGAATGTTTAGATGTAGTTTATATAATAGCACTTGCTGATATTATTTTTGATTATATCATATATTTTAGTGTAATGTTACAGAAATAAAATTAAAAATAAAAAAAAAGTTGGAGTAAAATTTATTTTACCCATTTATGGTTGAGTACTTTACCCATATATGGTTTAATTACAATCATAAAGCTCCATGTAATTTTGAACTAAAATGTTACGGTTAGTTTTTTATTTTATTTTATTTTTATTTTTATTTTTTTTATACAAACTAAAGAAGGTTTATCACACGCCATTTTTTGAGTGGACTTAGTTTTTTAAAAAATAAATACAATAAAAAGTGTACGGGGAGCAAATATTTCAGCGTGCCCGTATTCCTTTCTTCCGAGCTCCGTCAATGTCCGATCACCTGCGAGCAAGTAATGGTGAGCTACCCGGCGGTGTGTGGCCGGAAAAACCCTCCGACGGTCAAGTTAGCACACACCTTAGGATGGATAGAGAGAAGGGAGAGAGTGTTTGAGTGTAAGAAATCCTTACAGATGTGTTCGTCTTCCGTACGGTCCGGGGCGGCACACATTCAGTCCAAACTCTGCCCGGCCCAAGTTCTGGTAGCCCATCTCTGGGTGAACAGTCGATCATCTCAGCCCAATGCACTGCTGGGCCCTCAACTTGCTCGGTCGATACCTCGGCCCAACACCGGATCATAAATCACCCTCTCAAAAAGGTAATTTTGTCCCCTATCTTCTCCAAAATTACATTTAGATTAAAATTTTAATTAGAATAAAAGAATATATATATATATATATATAATTAAGGATTCATTTAAAATATAAAATAATTAGCCTACTTCTAAAATATGGGGCAAAGAGGAGTGACTATGCGGCAGAAGCGAGTGGAACATTTAAGAGCTAAAAGGATTTTTGCACACCCTAACCTTGTCTTTGGTGAGATTTAAACCCCTAATGCCATGATTAAAGGTAGCTTATTTCATATTTGAATAATATACATTGTTAGAAGAATGTGGGTATAGGTAAATTCATTAAATAAAAAAGAGAGTAATTGGGGAGCCTCTAAATACACTTTAAATTTGTTGTTGGACACTCAATTCTCAAATTCAAAACTTTTAATTTTCTTTGACCATTCCAATTAATTCTCAACTGTCTCACACATTCCACCCAACTTGCCAGTGACACTACTGCCACTTCCCAGCCCATTAGCAAGATTTCCATTGAGTCTGCTTTCTTTTCCATTGCCTTTACCCATTCATCTGTTACCCTTCCCCTTTCCCCTCCCTTCGTGTCCCTCACCAATGCCCTCTAACCTCTAGTGCCACATCCCTTCACATCCCTCACCAATGCCTTCTAACCTTTGGTGCCTCATCTTGAGTCCCTAGGATTGAGTATAGGGTTATTCAATTTGCAAACACTATCTAATCCAAACCGTCTGCCCCTATTTGAGCGGTTTTGCAAAATTTTTATGGTCGGATGTAATTTAAGATTTTCCTATGTTATGGTTGTGGGTGGGTCGCGGGTTTTACTCGCATCTGCACTCACATGCCCGTATCTGTATATAAATTTTTTTAAAAAAAATTTGGACCATCAGATTTTCTTGTAAGTTTTGTGAGTATGTAACCCTAATCTTCTCCTCTCTTACTCAATTTAATCTTATTATCAAACCTATAGGCTCTAACATTATAATATTATAATAATATCACACACTGCCTTGTTTGAAATACTTATTATTCAATTGAAATTTTTTCAATTTTTTAAAAAATCTAGTTATTTGATTTTTTTTTCTATGTTTGTTTTTATTTAATTTTCATTCTAATTTTTTGTAATCTAGTTTTAATGGAAGATAATATTGAATCTCCTACAATAAAAAATATTTTAAAAATGGGAAAAAAACAAACCAAAAAATAAATTTTTAGAGGAAAAAACTCAATCTGCAAATTGCCCGTAACGGCCCGCACATCCGCGAACCCTATCCGCATAAACCGCAAACCACATTACAGGCGGTTGTAGGTTCAATTTTTCTCAAACCGTAAACATGCAAGTAAGTCTAAACCGCAAACTGAACCGTCAAAAATGGATCTGCAAGCACCTCTACTAGTCCTTACAAGAAATCTAATATGAGAGAGAGAGAGTGTATGTGTGTGTGTGTGTGTGTTGGGATGGAGGGAGCTATGAAAATGGGGTCTATGAAGATAGTTAGTGGAGGTGGAAGGCCACAAAGAATGTGGGACTTGGAGAGTGGAGGTTGCAGGGAAGGAATATGGGCAGGGCAACTAGTTGTGGGCAATATAAGAAAAAGGGTTGAAGGTTGACGGAGAGTTGGAAAGGGATTAGAAGGGTATGAAATAGCTAAAAGGTAGTGGGGAGTGGCAAGAAAGAGCTGAAAAGGGGTGGAGAGGAGGGCTGTGGTGCTATTGGCGATAGTGGCGACTGGAGTCTCCCTTCTTTTCACTGATCTCTCACACATTCCACCTAACTTGCCAGTGCCACTTCTGCCACTTCCTAGCCCACCAACAAGATTTTTTCCATTGAGTCTCCCTTCTTTTCCATTGCCCTTACCCATTCAACCTATTACCCTTTCCCTTCCCTTTACATCCCTTACCAATGCCCTCTAACCTCTGGTGCCACATCTCTAGTCTCTAAGGCTGGACATAGGGTTATTCAACTCGAGAAAACCGCCTAATCCAAATCGCCTGCGCTTATTTGGGCGGTTTCACAAAATTGTTAGGGTCGGACGCAGTTTAAGATTTTCCTATTTTGTGGGTTGCGGCGCGGGTCGCGGGTTTTACCCGCACTTGCACTCACTCACCCGCATCTATATACAATTTTTTTTTTTTTTTAATTGGACCATCGGAACCCGCATCTATATACAATTTTTTTTTTTTTTAATCTGGACCATCGGATTTTCTTATAAGTTTTGTAAGTGTGTAACCCTAATCTTCTCTTCTCTCACTCACTTCAATCTGATTATCAAACTTGTAGGCTCTAACATTATAACATTATAATAATATCACACACTATCTTATTTGAAACACTTTTTATTTAATTGGAATTTTTTTAATTTTTTGCAAATCTAGTTATGTGACTTTTTTTTTCTTTTTTCTTTTTTCTTTCTATGTTAGTTTTTATTTAACTTTCATTCTAATTTTTTGTAATCTAATTTTAGTGGAGGTTGCAGGAAGGAATAGGGGCAAGGCAGCTAGTCATGGGCAACAAAGAAGAAGCGCGGAAGGTTGACAAAGAGTTGAAGAGGGTTTAGAAGGGTATGAAAGGGCTAAGAGGTGGTGGGGAGTGGCAAGGAAGAGCTGAGGAGGGGTGGGGAGAGGGGCTATGGTGCTATAGGCGATAACAGCAACTAGAGTTAAGAGTGGTAGGGCTTAGGGTTTTGGGTTGTCTTCTTTGGTAATTTACCAATTTTAGGATGTGATTTTTTTAACACAAAAAAAAAAGAACCATTTACTGATTTATTATGAAAAAATGTATAAAAAAAATAAAAAGATGATGTGATGAAATCTAAATAAGTTAATAAATCAATAGGTTAACTTTTTTTCGCTGTTCTAAATGAGGCTTCAATTTAAAGATAAAATGGTATTGAAAAAAATATTAAAAAGTAAGGTATCCAACAATAATTCGGAGTCCATTTAAAGGCTCCCGAGTAATTGTACAATGCTTCTATTTGCATACTTCTCTGAATTTACACTATTTTTTCAGTTTATTTTTATTTTTTTTTTAATTACGATTGTAGGTCAAGCAAATTACTTTTATGGACAAAATCTTAAAATTTAATCTCTGGTATATACCTCCACACACCATATAAGAAAACTTTTAGGACTAAACAGTGCATAAGTTATTAATTTGGGATTTATTGGTGCATCTCCCTTGAAAAAAATATTAAAAAGTAAGGTATCCAAAAATAATTCGGAGTCCATTTAAAGGCTCCCGAGTAATTGTACAATGCTTCTATTTGCATACTTCTCTGAATTTACACTATTTTTTCAGTTTATTTTTATTTTTTTTTTAATTACGATTGTAGGTCAAGCAAATTACTTTTATGGACAAAATCTTAAAATTTAATCTCTGGTATATACCTCCACACACCACTAGACACAACCATGAACTCTTTAGTAATTTGCCACCCCCCAATCCAACCACTAAACAATTTATTTAATTTTTTTAAATAAAATCGATAGGATAATGAGCATTTTAGTTATTAAACTTAATAAAAAATATTTTAAATATTTTATGTATATTTAAATTAAATTTAATAATTAAAATATTCTTTTTCTATCGATTTTAGTTACAAAAATAAATAAATAATTTTAATTGAAAATAAATAATAATTTTAAATTTAAATTGATAAAATTAAAAAATAAAGAATTATTTTGTTACAAAGTTAAAAGTTTAAAAAATTTTATTTTTTATTTTTTATAATTATCCCATTAATTTTTAATTTTAGAAAATAAAAAATTATTGGGCAAATTACATATACCCTCTTGAGGTTTGACTAAATTACAAATACCTCATGAGGTTTGAGAAATTACAAATTCTCTCCTGAATGCTATATTTGCATAACAAATTAGGGAACTATCTATAATTTAGCTAAACCTCGAGTGGTATATGTAATTTGCCCAAAATTATCGGGCAAATTACATATACCCCTTGAGGTTTGGCAAAATTACAAATGCCCCTTAAGGTTTGAGAAATTATAAATTCCCCTTTGAATGTTATATTTGCATAACAAATTAAGAGGTAATTTGTTATGAAATATAAATCTCAGGAGACAAATTATTATGAAAATA